AAAGAGAGAAAGGGAAAAAGGGAACCACAGTGAAAATTATGACCGTTAGTAGCATTAACGATTACTATACTGTAATTATATATATACTATAACGCAACCCCTCGACCTTGTGGAAGAGCGTAGCCATCGAGCAAGTGAATCCTCCATTATCCGACAATATATAAATAGATAATCGTTCCAGTAAATCTATTATCGCCTGATTGCCAAGACCGTATCGGACCACGAGGTTCGCAACGGATTCGGGCGGGACTTCCGGTGACGGTCGATGTTTGCTCCGCCTGTTAACAAGGCCATCGGCGACCAGTCTGACTGCTGTAACGGAAGCGAGGCTGCGTTTCCGAGAGACGCTAAAAGGACATTGTAGTTTAGTAGAACGAAAAGACTGATCGAAGCCGAGGACACGGAGCACATATTGTGGACGTGCCCGCGGACACGTTTCGTTGACGCAAGAGATTGAATAATAATTTTGATACGATAATATTTAGGGAATCTTTTAAAAAATTAAGTTCTACTATGCATACAAGGGAGACTCCTTAAAGGAACTTTATGAGAAGGTGTATTTAATAACGAATATGCTGGGTGATCGATAAATTGAGGTAAAAATTGAACTCGTTGAATGGTAAATTGTAGAATACACAGGCGATTAGGAGATACGGAACAGTTGTGATAAATTATTATTACACGTTTATATGAATTCTATGACGATGCATGGATAGAGTTTGCGAGTCGATCAGATTTCCTTTGATGATTTCGTTAAATTCTTGTTAGACTCAAATTGGCTATCGAAATAAACGTTTTGAATGTTTTCATTTACTCTTTAAATACAATTTCATCCTCACCGTGCTACGCGTTCATTTTCTGCCTACAGTTTTGAAGTCTCCCGTATATTTTCTACTTGTACATTTAATACTGTGGGGTGCGGATAAATATCGAGCAACGTTAAAGAGGAATGATCCCGATAAAATGGTCCTCGTGATTCGATCGACAGCTTGGCAATCGAAATTAAATTTAAGGATTGAGTTGCACTCGTGGAACAAAAATAAAGGCACGGAGAAAGGAAAACCACAGTGAGACTGTGCGAAGAATCGAGGGGGATGTCCATAATCGACTCGTCCTCGAGAGACTAAACAAAATAGGCAAAATGGTAGAAAGTTACTTCTCCCTGATGCCTGTTGCATCCTGCGACTCGACGTTAACTATACTTACGATGTATCGTTGTAGAAACTATATCGAGTGGTATTTTAATGTAAAAGTGACAGCGAGCGAGTGAGAGAGAGAGAGAGTGAGAGCGAGAGAAAGAAAGAGAGTGATTGGAATACTGATAACAATTAGAGAGAACTGAAAGAGGGGTGAAAGAAGTGAAATGAGAAACGAAATTTCTCAATAAGGAAAACCGTTGGTAAAATTCAGAAACAAAATCAAGAAACAAAAAGGGTCCCGAGAAAAGGATAAATTTTCTTAGAAAATGTCCGAAATCGAGAAGGATAGAAAAGCAATTGGATAAAGTCACACTTCGCTTCTTTACACGCACCCACGGAAGAGAATCGAAACGAGCAACTCGTTTAGCATGACGGAGGGCTTGCATGCAATAAAATGTTCGGGACGATGGAAACGAGAACACGAACAAATTGAAACAATAAGAAACGGAGAGGCGCGGACCCGTCATGGCGCTCTCACGACGCGTATTCTTTTTTTACTCCCATGTAGAGAAAGAGACTCGTAGACGAGGTGTCCCCCCATTGCATATTAGATCGATCAATA